TGTAGTATTTTACATAAGAGATCAATATCTCTCATTACAAGATGCAATATCATAGGAAATTTAGCATCCGTAATTTTGTTTTGATGTTTTTCAAGTACAACTAGTGGACATGATGTTTTATATGAAAAACGAAGTTTGATGTGATGTTTTTGGACGGGGTTTTACAGGTAGAATTGTTGAAGAACACAACATTATGAACAACACTTTTTCTTTGTTTCATATCAAATGCAGACAAAGTAAAGTCAGAAAATCAATACTTGCATTTGCAATCAACACATTCTTTATTTTCAGACAATTTAAGAAGTTCTTGTACCCCCTCTACCATATCTGTACAAATAGAACTCCAGAATTTGATAATACAAATAACATAGTAAGCTCCCAGGAGAGGACAAACATATTAAATTAAAGAGGACGAACTATAATAGCACACACAGTATTATAGTTCTGGGAGGATAGCAATTGTACTAAGCAAATATGAATGATAAGAACATAGTGGAAGACTTCAACCAACAAACTCCTTGCACATCTAAGGTGTAGCGGTGCACATAAATAAAAGCTTGGAACCAATGAAAGCTCTCGAAAGCTTAAGCTAAGGATGATAATCATCTAACTACTAAAATTGGTCTAATACTTGACTCAGTAATATTTAAATTAGACTCGCATAACTTAATTGCTATCTTGACGGCTTCTTATCATATTTTATAGATAGAATCTTCCAAACTTAATTATCACACACACACAAAAAAAAATTGTTCGAAATTCCAATCAATTGATATTAATTTAGCATACTATACCAGAAACTTAATGTTATACAACATATTTTTGTTAATGCTATGTACAAGATCAGTAGACTAGTAATTAAATTGATTAGATCATATCAACATTTTGAAGGGGCACATTAACTTTATGCCTTCTGCCTCGCTTTCCTCTGTCTACATTGCATCACCACTTATTTCTACATCTCTCAATACACTCTAATTTCATTAATGCTAATAGTTAGTAATCACCCTAGCTACGTATATGATAACACACATTAAAAAAATAAACTGCCTTTAATTTTGAACAAAAAAAAATTAAGATAAAACAGTTAACAGAAACTATTGATTCTTCAAAATATATAGATAGATATAGTTTATAGAGCCAATGGATGGCTGCTGACTTGTCATAATCTCAAATTAATTCTCACAAATATACTAGATCATGAAAAGCAAGGAGGATGAAAAACAACACAAGTTAATTTATCACTTCTACATACAAACACACAGACAAACACAACATATATATATATATATATCAGAGTAAAAACTCCAAAAACAAACCATATATAACTTACCTTACGATTTACAGCTATCTTCAGGTACTCTGTCCTCTATCATGTCATATGTAGGGTTAATTTGAAGCTCTGGACATCTTAGGAACACAAAGCAAACCAATAATTGCAAATCAGAAGGCCTAACTCTTCGTCACATCAACCGAAGCAAAACAAAACAAATGTAATGGAGAAAATGAAAAAGAACAAAAAGAGAGAGGAAAAAAAAAAGACTAAGAAAAGGAAAAGAAAGAGGAAAGTGCGACGGCTAGGTTAGAAGAAGTTTTTGAATCAATAATTTTAATAATATTTTTATAATTAAAATTATTTTATATTATTATTTGTTTTTTATATAAATAGAAATGATGATACTAATAAAATAAAATAAGATTTCATTTGTTATATAGAAAATATGTTTTTTTTTTAAAAAAAAAAAATTATATTTGTATTTTTTAATAAAAAATTATAGGATAAATTATATAACACTCCCTTGTATTTTAGTAAAAATGCACAAAACTCTCTGTGTTTTATTTATTGCGTGAAACTCCCTTGTGTTAATGCAAAATTTGCACGAAACACCTTCATTGTTAAAAACTGATGTTTTGTTCAAAATAAAGACCTAAATTACGCAAGTTTTATTCAAATAAAAAAACATAAAATATTTTAAATAATTTTTTTGAATAAAATAAAAAAATAAAAAATTTATTAATCCTTCATTTTATAGATTTTTGGAGACAAATTTTTATCTGATTTTAAAAAAAGTATAAAAATAAATAATTGATCAAGTATATATTTATTTATTTTATTCAAAAAAAAATTAATCAAAATATTTTACGATATTTTAGTTTATAAAATACTTGCATAATTTGAGTCTTTATTTAGAATCAAACATTATTTTTTGATAAGGAGAGTGTTTCGTGCAAGTTTTATATTAACACAAGGGAGTTCCATACAATAAATAAAACAAATGGTGTTTTGTGTATTTTTACTAAAAACATGAGGGGTGTTATATAATTTACCTAAAATTATATTACATTTTACAAATTTTTATTACAAGGAAATTATTTTTATTAATTTAATGAAATTTAAAATTTTATTAAGAACTTTTTTTTTTTTTACTTTCCATCCTTTTTAAAATTAATTTAAAAAATATTTTTTATTATTAAAATAAAATAATAATTTGTATTTTTGTCAGGGAACATAAATCTTTTGCAAAATTCTTCGCCAATAATGAGGATGTTTTAAATTCCTCGCAAATTATGTTCGTTAATTACGAATTAATCAATTTCCTTACAAAAGTCTATCGTTAAAAAAAAAAGTCATTTAGGTACCGGGGGTTGTTTGTCGACATTGTGGAACAAGTCATTCAGGTACCGGTATTGATAAAGTTCCATTAACATGTTTTAAGTGTGGTGGTAGTGGTCATATTGCCAGGCTATGCCTAAGTGTGGTAACTGCAAGGAAGTTTCCAGAACCGAGATTTAAGCCATGGCAGCAGCCGTCTTGGTAGTCACAGGGGAAAGGATTAGGACTATCATGGCGAGGTGGTCGAAGTCAGTCACGTCCGTCATCTAGGCAGCCAGGCAAAGGACCTGACCAGCGTGGCAGAATAAATGTTGTTACTCAAACAGAGGCTGATCATCACCCAGGTGAGGTTCTAACGGGTAGATTTCTTGTTTTCGGTTTGTCTGCTCTTGTGTTATTTGATTCGGGTGCAACGTTCTCGTTCATATCTAAACGTTTGGTTAAAAGATTGGGTCTGAATTCATTGGTAGAAATGGTAGTGGAAGTTTTACTTCCATCAGGAGAAGTACTGGAGTGCCGAGAACTCTATATGCAAATTCCGGTTAGTATTGGGGGAGTTGATTTTGCTACTAACTTGTTGAGTATGAAGTTATCCGAGTTCGATGTGATACTAGGGATGGATTGGTTAATGGCATATCAACCTCAATTTGATTGTCGAAAAAGGTCAATTTCGTTGGTTGGAGCGACGGGTGAACAAGTGAATTATGCAGGATCTGCAAGACAACCTTCTATGAAGGTAATTTCATCCCTATCATTTCAAGCACTTATTCGTAAGGGGCATCCGGTGTATCTGTGTGAGGTAAGAGATTTGAAGCAAGGGGAGCAATGATTGCAAAATATTCTTGTGGTTCGTGATTTTCCTGATGTATTTCTTGATGATATTCCTGGTATGCCACCAGCTCGTGAGGTGGATTTTACTATTGATATTGTGTCAGGCGCTGAGCCAATATCAAGAGCCCCATATCGCATGGCACCGTTAGAACTCGCTGAACTTAAATTGCAACTACAGGAATTACTGGATAAAGGTTACATTCGTCCTAGTACGTCGCCTTGGGGTGCTGCAATTTTATTTGTGAAAAAGAAAGATGGAAGCTTGAGGTTGTGTATTGACTACCGTGGGCTGAATAAAGTAACGGTAAAGAACAAATATCCTCTTCCGAGAATTGATGATCTATTTGATCAATTGAGAGGTGCAAGTATATTCTCCAAGATTGACTTGAGGTCTGGATATTATCAACTAAGGGTTGCAGAGCATGATATTCCTAAGACAGCTTTTCGTTCTAGATACGGCCATTATGAATTTACGGTTATGTCCTTTGGCTTGACCAACGCCCCGGTTGCGTTTATGGAATTGATGAATCGAATTTTTCAACTATACTTTGATCAGTTTGTGGTGATATTTATCGATGATATCTTGGTATATTTTCTAGATAAAAGGACACATGCAAAACATTTGCGTGTGACCCTAAATACACTGCGTGCGAGGAAGTTATATGCCAAGTTATCCAAATGTGAGTTTTGGTTGAAAAATGTTGCTTTCTTGGGGCATGTAGTTTCTGGTAAGGGTATCTCAGTAGATCCTTCTAAAGTTGCGGCAATCTCATATTAGCCAAGACCTACCAATCAATCAGAAGTAAGAAGCTTTTTGGGTTTGGCAGGATATTACCGAAGTTTCGTTCTTGATTTTTCGAAGGTTGCGAAGCCATTAACTAATTTGCTGAAGAAGAACACAATGATTAATTGGGATCGTGAGTGTGAGTCCTCTTTCTTAGAATTGAAACATCGATTAACTTCAGCACCAATCTTGGCTTTACCAGTAGAGGGTGAGGGTTTTGAAGTTTATTGAAGTTTATAGTGATGCTTCGAAAAGGGGATTGGGATGCGTCTTAATGCAGAATCAAATAGGTATTGCTTATGCGTCACGACAACTAAAACCTCACGAAGAGAATTATCCTACACATTGACATGGATTAGGATCATCTCCATGAATCAAACTCGAAGACAAGTATCTAATATGTATTCGGGAACTTACAAATGCTTAATCGAAAATTGAAATAGAAATAGGATAAGTTGAATTCCAAAAGCAATCACTCCTCTCGAGCAAGCACTTTCGAGAATCCACGGACTGTCCGAGCCTGCCGATGCATCTTCCGTCTCTCACGCAATTGCATCCGAAGCTCAACAATTGAATTGCGCTCTCGGCGGATGGAATCACTCCAACTCTAAGGAATCTCTCCAAAGCTAGGTTAACCCTCTCTAAAAAATGTTCTCATCTAAGTTGTGTCCATCAAGAAAATAAACAAGGCTATATATACTAAATGACAAATTAATCTAAGCCGCACATCTTAAGTGGCAAGCTAATCTAAACCACACATTTTGATTAAGATCAAAGGATCACAACCTCCAAGCAAACAAGTAGCTTCGACCGGGTTCGGGTTGCAATCGGACTGTCTAAGTTCGGGTTCGGGTGATCCGCAGCCGTGTCATCCTCTCCCCCTTCGGCTGCCTTGTCCCCAAGGCTAGTAGTAGCATTTTTGGTTGCCTTGTACTCAAGGCTAGTAGCATCTTCAGCGTGATAAAAAAGGCTCAAATCGGCAACGTTGAAAGTCGCATTCACGCCCAAGTCTTCCGGAAGTGCAATCCGGTATGCGTTATCGTTTATGCGCTCCAACACACGAAATGGACCAGCTCCATGAGGATAAAGTTTTCCACGCCGCAGCTCCGGAAAGCGTTCTCTACGCAAATGTACCCATACCCAATCTCCGGGTCGAAATATCACGCGTTTTCTTCCGCGATTGGCATAGCGTGCGTATGTCGCGGCCGCCTTATGAATGTGCTCCCGTACTTTGGCGTGTAATTCCTTGATTGATGTAGCTCGATCCCTGTCACTAAAATTCAAATGCTCGCTACTAGGTAGTGGCAACATATCAGTAGGAGTTAAAGGATTAAGACCATAAACAACCTCAAACGGGAACAATTTAGTATTAGAACTAACATGCCTATTATAAGAAAATTCAACATGTGGTAGGCATTCATCCCATATTCGACCACTATCATGTACCATGGCACGTAGAAGATTACCTAAGGTACGATTGACCGCCTCCGTTTGGCCATCAGTCTGGGGTGACACGTGGTAGAGAAAAGTAAGCACGTCCCAATTTCATGCCAAAGACTTTTCCAAAAATAAGATACGAACTTTACATCCCTGTCAGATACAATAGTTTTTGGGACCCCATGCAATTTCACAACCTCTCGAAAGAAAAGCTTTGCCACATGACTAGCATATGTCGTTTTCGCACAAGGTATAAAGTGAGCCATCTTGGAAAATCTATCAACCACAACAAAAATTGAGTCTTTAGCACGCGGTGTCCGAGGTAAACCAATAACAAAATCCATAGAAATATCTAACCAAGGGCCTTCCGGAGTGAGAAGAGGAGTATACATACCATGGGGCTTCAAAGTACTCTTCGCCACTCTACATGCAAGACACTTATCAACAAAAGAATCAACATGTTTACGCATATGAGGCCAGTAAAAGTGAACGCTAAGAACATCAAATGTAGCATGTCTACCAAAATGTCCAAGCATATGACTACCATGACTCTCCTCAATCAAAACATCTCTAATGCTACATCTAGGGATGCACAATTTATCACCATGAAACAAATAGCCATCATGCTTATAATAATCATCAAAACCATGCTTCTCACACTTCCTAAATATATCACCAAAATCTACATCATGCTCATACAACTCACGAATATGTGCAAATCCAACCAAATGTGTACGAGTATGATTAAGTAAAACATACCTCCGAGAGATTGCATCAGCAACTACGTTCTCTTTCCCTTGTTTATACTTAATCACATATGGAAATTGCTCAATAAAGCTTACCCACCGAGCATGACGCTGATTGAGTTGCTGCTGCCCACGCAAATGCTTGAAGGTCTCATGATCCGTGTGAATCACAAACTCCTTTGGCAGCAAGTAAAGTTGCCAAACTCTTAGGGCTTGCACAACCGCATATAATTCCTTGTGGTATGTCGAGTAATTAAGGGCTGCTCCATTGAATTTCTGACTATAATAAGCAATCGGTCGTCCTTCTTGTAATAGTACTGCACCTATACCAACTCCACTAGCATCACATTGGACTTCAAAAGCACGTTCAAAATCGGGTAGTGCCAAAAGCGGAGCATGTGTCAAACTATCCCGAAGCTTCTCAAAGGATGCTTCGTGACTTGCCTCCCACTTAAATGGAACATTCTTCTTTAAAAAGGGAGGTCAATGGGGCTGCTATCACACTAAAGTGTGGTACGAATCGCCTAAAGAATCCACACATTCCAAGGAACCTCCGAACATCGGCCACACTTGTACATTTTTTTCATTCCCGGATTGCAGCAACCTTAGATTCATCAACCTTAAGACCATCTGCACCTACAACAAAGCCAAGGAAAATAATTTCATTAGTGCAGAAAATGCATTTCTTTAACGTACCATACAATTTAGCATTTCTTAATGCATGAAAAACTTGCCTAACATGTCCTAGATGGTCCTCCAAACAAGTACTATAGACAAGTATGTCATCAAAGTATACCACCACAAAATTTCCAATAAATTCTCTCAACACATGGTTCATCAACCGCATGAAAGTGCTGGGCGCGTTTGTCAACCCGAATGGCATGACTAGCCACTCGTACAACCCAAACTTAGTTTTAAAAGTTGTTTTCCACTCATCTCCGGGTTGCATACGAATTTGATGGTACCCGCTCTTCAAGTCAATTTTTGTAAACCATCATGCTCCATGCAACTCGTCAAGCATATCATCCAATCGAGGGATTGGATGTCGGTATTTCACAGTAATTGCATTGACGGCCCTGCAATCAACACATATGCCATGAGTTATCCTTTTTAGGGACAAGTAAAATAGGTACAGCACAAGGAGATAAAGATTCTCGAACCCATCCCTTATCAAGAAGCTCTTGGACTTGTCTTCGAATTTCCTCACTTTCTTTTGGATTACACCTATAAGCTGGCCAATTGGGGATTGATGAACCCGGTGCAAAATCAACACGATGTTCGATGCCTCGCAATGGTGGTAATCCAGGTGGTATATCATCCAGAAAAACATCCTCAAACTCTTTAAGCAAGTCTACAAAAGGAGAAGACGAGTGAGAAAAAGAATTATCGTCAATAACAAGTACTTCTTTGAGTAAGAGAATATAAAAGTAACTTCCCTCATCTTGGTTACTGTTTTGGCGAACTTATTTGTTGAACTCTTTGAGACTAAGCATCAGCTTGCTATCGTCTCCCTCGGAAGGTTTCGCCAAAATGGTAACAACAGCCCCTTTTGATTTTGCCACATCTCGTATAGTCCTATGTAAATTTTCAGCATCACGACGGATGGTCTCGAGTGGAAGGGCGGAAATGCTCAGCTTCTTACGACCTTTAGTGAACGATATTTGATTCTTATATCCATTGTACAAAACATGTCTATCAAATTGCCATGGTCGTCCCAAAAGGAGGTGGCATGCAGTCATGGGACACACATCACAAAGGACATCATCGCTGAAACCACAAATTGACAAGATAACAATCGCTCGTCTATCGACACGGACAACTCCTTCATCGCTCATCCAATGTAGGTTATATGGTTTCGGGTGTGGGGTGGTATTCAAACTCAGCTTCTCGACCACATAGGAACTAATAACATTGGTGCAACTACCCGAATCCAGTATCATGGATATAGTATGTCCCGCTACCTTGCAATGACAATGGAATAGATTTTCTCGCTGTCCCGCATCCTTATCTTCGCGCGGTAAAGATGTCAAGGCACGCATGACTACTAAACTTAATAGATCCTCATCACACACTTCTTCAACGTCTTCATCACTTCCAGCCTCTGCTTCAGCCTCTACTACCTCATCGCCCTCACCATCATCGACATATCCCCATTCGCCATTCTCCAAAATCATAATGGTTCGTTTATTGGGGCATTGACCTGCATAGTGCCCTTGTCCATGACACTTATAGCACGTTACAATCTTTTCTTTTTGCTGTCCAAAATCCTTTCCTTTGAACTTCGCAGCCTCATCCTTCTTATCAATTATTTTATATTTGCCTTTATCCATATTTTTATTGAAGGGCTTAGTGAAAACAATTCCTTTAGATCCGGTAGAAAATACAACCGGAGCTACATAACTTGTTGGAAACTTCCTTTGAGATGAGAATTCAGTTGAGGTTGGTCTTTTGAGCTGCTCCTCGCGTTTGATAGCCAAATCCACAGCTTCCCGAAGAGAAAGAAAATGGTGCAGCTTAACCATATCAGCTATCTCACGCCTCAAACCCTTAATGAACCGAGCTTCTGTCAATGACTCGCTCTTATCAATATCCAATCGCATCATCAAAATCTCCAATTCCTTAAAATATTCCTCCACCGATTTCGAACCTTGCACCAAGGACTGCAACTTGATATTCATATCTCGTTCATAATTTTGTGGCACAAAATGCCTCCTCATGATTTCCTTCAACCGGGGCAAAGTGTCAATCGGATTTCGTTGATGCCGTTCTCTATAACGTCTCTCCTTCTCCCACCAAGTCAATGCATAATCCCTGAATTCAAATATCGCCATTCGGAATTTCTTGCCATCCGAGTAATTATGACAGTCAAATGCCATATCGCACTTCGTTGTCCAATTCAAAAATTCCTCTGCCCCTCTTAATCCTCCAAAGGTGGGAAGGGTAATCCTAATGGTAGAAAGATCGTCATCCACTTCACCAAGTCGATGATAAGTTCGGTCTCGTTCATAGAATGAGTACTCTGAGTTACGACTATTGTGTGCATCTAAACTCATTGAAGGACTCACATCACGATGACTAGAAGCTTCAACTGCATCATATCTACCCGGAATATCAGCTACTCCAGAAGGAACCTCAGTCCGTGCCGTCTCCAAAGATGTCAACCTGTGATTGAGGTCCTCCATTTTCTTATTCACGGTGTACTCTACATAATCCCAAGTTCCCTTTGTTGCATGGATAAAGTTTTTTCCATTTTGGCCTCCAATTGTTGCATACTCGATTCAAAGAGCTTCTTCAATTGTTCGAAAGAGGTCATCCTGCATACAAAGACAAACTATATATATGTATATCAAAAGGTAAGTGCTCTCACTCTATCTCACAACTCTCAGAAAGGAAAATCAGAAGCAACCACAATCAAAACAGAAGAAGCATTTTGCAAATACCTCAAACAGTACGTCGGAATTCCTTCAAATGCAATACTCAAGGAGAAGTAATGTCGAACAAAAACAAGACGCATCAACTAGGAACCAAACTAGAGGATTCGACGCCAAACTATATTCGCAGAATGTAAAGAAAGTTTGGCACAAGTTCTTATTCCACAATTAAGCAACAAGCTAGAATCGAAATCCCTAGCACATCATTTGATCATGACAATCTCTCCTAACTCAAAAGAACCCCCACAGAAGGATAGAACTACTTCCTCAAAACTGGTTTAGTGACTCTCAACTATGATTATTCAAATGATCGACAAAGCACTATAAAAAGAAGAAAAAGTGTGCTGCTCAATTTGTTTTTTTTTTTTTAATGCTCTAGGCTTTTACTTAATGTTTAGAGTGCGCCTTTTTCTAATTTATATTACCAGCTTGGCTCTTTTATTGCACTTTTGCCACACTCCTCAAAAATAGGACACAGTGCACTATAACCAAATTCAAATGCTATTTCAGAGAGCTATTCAAAACCAAATTTCACGATTCCAAAAATTGAAATCAACTTCAAGGATTTAACTAACAGGAAAGAAAATAATCACTCAATAATTCCCAGCCAATTGAGAGCAGTAAATCGAACAATTCGACTGCTCAAAACAGAAAACAGAATGCCGGACCCAAGATTTTCAGACTGACCAAAAACTGTCTTCCAAGTTTTTTTAAACAATATTGAGATCACGGCATGGCAAAGTAGTGCTCACTGTATAGAGAACTCGATGCCGATTCTGAAACATCCTCACAATAGTAAATCGGAGTTCGTATGCAAAAGTTACGGCCAAAATACGATTTACCGACAAAACTCACAAAAACACAATTCTAAGCCCTCAATTCACTCAATTCCATGATCATTTGATGTGTTTAGGCTCAAAACAACCATATTACTCAATCAAGGTCTAAGAACACTTAGAAAACTATGAACAAAGCTTGTTAGCGCCAGCCAATAATCACTACTACTTGTGTTTCTTGAGAGACAAATTCAACAACACAACTCATGTTTGGAAACTAACAATGGATTGGAACTAGTGATCATTTCCACTAGAGAGGGAATTTTTGCAACAACGAAATGGCTATTTCCAGAAACTATGAACTATCTCCAAATAACATGAACTAAACCAATGTTCTAACACAAATTTGATCAAACAGGACATAGAGACATATTATCGAACATGTTGTGAACAGGATTGCTACGAAATCTTATGATCAAGTCAACAACCGCTCTGATACAAATTTATGACATGGATTAGGATCATCTCCATGAATCAAACTCGAAGACAAGTATCTAATATGTATTCGGGAACTTACAAATGCTGAATCGAAAATCGAAATAGAAATAGGATAAGTTGAATTCCAAAAGCAATCACTCCTCTCGAGCAAGCACTTTCGAGAATCCACGGACTGTCCGAGGCTGCCGATGCATCTTCCGTCTCTCACGCAATTGCATCCGAAGCTCAACAATCGAATTGCCCTCTCGGAGGATGGAATCACTCCAACTCTAAGGAATCTCTCCAAAGATAGGTTAACCATCTCTAAAAAATGTTCTCATCTAAGTTGTGTCCATCAAGAAAATAAACAAGGCTATATATAATAAATGACAAATTAATCTAAGCCACACATCTTAAGTGGCAAGCTAATCTAAACCACACATTTTGATTAAGATCAAAGGATCACATCCTCCAAGCAAACAAGTAGCTTCGACCGGGTTCGGGTTGCAATCGGACTGTCTAAGTTTGGGTTCGGGTGATTCGGAGCTGTGTCACACATGACTTGGAGATGGCAGTAGTTGTGTTTGCTTTGAAGATTTGGAGGCACTATCTTTATGGTGCCCATTGTAGAATATTTACTAACCATCAGAGTTTGAAATATATCTTCACCCGAAGAGAATTAAATTTAAGACAAAGAATATGGTTAGAATTGGTGAAGGATTATGATCTCGAAATTGTATATCATGAAGGCAAAGCAAATGTTGTAGCTGATGCCTTGAGTCGAAAACCAAGGCATAAGTTGGTTTCTATATCAGTTGCCGATGAACTGTGTCAAGATTTAGCACGGATGGAAATTGAAGTACTTGGACGGGGCATGACGCGGGGATATTTGCAAATGATGCAATTTGAGCCTAAAATTTATGATCATATTAGAGCGGCTCAAATGGAAGATAATAAGATGGTCGAGTTGGCTATAAAAGTTCAGTGCGGTCAGACTCAAAACTTTAATATTGTTTCAGATGGGAGTCTTCGATTCCATGGGAGGTGGTGTATCCTAAAGGACCGAAGCGATTTGAAGGAGAAAATTATGAGTGAGGCTCATAATATACCATATTCAGTACATCCATGAGGGATTAAAATGTATCAAGACTTACGCCAACATTTTTGGTGGAAGGGCATGAAGAAGGATGTGGCCAAATTTGTTGCACAATGCTTAAAATGCCAAAAGGTGAAAGCAAAACATCATAGACCGATGGGGTTGCTACGACCTTTAGAAGTTCCGCTCTGGAAATGGGATTCTATTGCAATGGATTTTGTGACAGACTTCCAAGGGTGAAGTCGGGAACAGATGCAATTTGGGTGATTATAGATAGATTGACCAAGTCAGCAGTGTTCATCCCAGTACGTATGACTTGGAGTATGCAGAAGTTGGCCAAATTATATGTTCATCATGTGGTTAAACGACACGGTATTCCTGAGGTAATCATATCGGATCGTGATCCACGTTTTCAATCTCGATTTTGGCAAAAATTGCAAGAAGCCTTTGGTACTCAGTTGCATATGAGTACTGCATTCCATCCAATGACTGATCGTCAATCAGAGCGAACTATCCGTATTCTGGAAGATATGCTAAGAGCTTGTGCAATAGAATTTCAAGGAAGTTGGGAGGACCACTTGGATCTAGTGGAATTCTTATATAATAATAGTTATCAAACTGGAATGGCTCCTTTTGAAGCTCTTTATGGACGAAAATGCAGAACTCCTTTAAGTTGGGATGACATGAGTGATTGACTTATATTAGGTCCAGAAATGATCGAAGAATCAAAAAATAAGATTCGAGTTATCAGGGAGAAGATGAAAATAGCTCAAGATCGTCGAAAAAGTTATGCCGATAAAGCCCGACGTGAAAGTCAATTTCAAAGTGGAGATTTCGTCCTGGTAAAAGCATCTCCAATGAAAGGTATTAGAAGATTTGGAATTAAAGGAAAATTGAGTCCGCGTTATGTTGGGCCCTATGAAATCCTCAATCGAATTGGAGAGTGGGCTTATCGGTTAGCACTTCCTAATTGCATGGAACGAATTCATAATGTGTTCCATGTATCACAACTTCGTAGGTATGTCGCAGATCCTTCTCATATTTTATCTCCGGATGAATTAGAGTTAAATGAGGATCTTTCGTATGAGGAAATGCCTCTCTGGATCATGGACACAAAGGTTCGAACTACGAGGAACCGAGATATTCATATGGTGAAGGTAATATGGTCCCGGCATAGAGCAGAAGAGACCACAGGGGAAGTAGAACAAGAGATGTTCAAAGCATACTCACATTTGTTTAATTAAGTAGTGTTGTTATGCGTTTGAGTTTAGATTTCGGGGACGAAATCTTTTAAGGTGGAGTGAATTGTAATGCCCCGATTTTGGAATGTATAAAATAATATTATTATAGCAAATAAATATTTTATAATATTTTGGGATCAAGAAATTAATATTTTAGAATAAATCTTATTCCTATTTTATATATTGATTATAATTGAAAAGACTATTAAACGAATAAATATCAATGAGGATAAATATAAAATATAATATATATAATTTAATAATATATATATTGAAGGTGATGATGATAAACCTATAATAATAATAATAGTAACGTTAATAATAATAATATAATATAATATAGTATATAATATATAATAATAATATAACTATATATATATAAAACAAACCAAACCCACCTGTGAAGGAAGGAAGAAGTAGACGTCCGCAGGAGGAAGAAGAAGGAAGAGAAGAAAGGAAGAAAGAAAAAGATTTAGCCGTTCGATTTCGATTCTGACTTCGGTATTGTATTCCTTGTTATACGTAGAATTTAATTATGGATTTTAATATGAATTTAGATATTGAAGATATTAAATTAGAAATTTTTCAAAAATTCATAACCGCTATTTGGCTATTTAATCGACTAAGTTCTTTAGTTAATAGTCTATTCGTAGTCCTAGCATTATATTCTATGAATTTTGTATCGATCCGAGCCGAATTGAAAACGGAAGGGTATTGCACCTGTCTGTTTATTCATATCTTTAAGTATTTTTATTTAATAATCGGGCGATATAAATAGTAGGAGGTGTAAGAGTTTTATAGCTAGAATATTGTATTCTACTAAATATAAAAGTTTGAAACCCAACGAGTTAATTATATAAATTAGCTTTTGAATAAGCAGGTAGCTCCTATGAATAAGCATATAGCTCAGCTGATTTGAGTAAATAATGGGGTAGGTGTACGTTGGAAGAGATTCGGGTGAGATTGCAAAAGCTAAGGAGTGTTGATAAGAGGTAAGCAGTAAGGAATTAAATCTAATTTTAAGAAATTATATATGCATGTTGCATGCGATTTTGATTAATATGTTAATGTGATATTATGTGAATCATTTTGTTGCATGTATATATTTATATGTATGTGTGCGTATGCATGTGGGAGACTTCACGGTTTATGATATTTGAT